AATCAAACATCATAACCCAGTTCTTGTCGTATGATAAATATTATCTGAACTAAATTAGTTGTTGATTCATTGGGATAAAAAAAGATTCATTTTCTTGAGGCCTGTTAACATGGGAAATTAAATAATTTGTGATATTTTGTTGAAACAATATTCATTATTATTCATTTATTAAAGGGGACAGAAAATTGTACACCTCTTGGACTATATCTGTGTGACCACCTAAATTTTGTATATAAAGTGATTTTTGGAACACAGCCATGTTTATTCATTTATATATTGTCCATGGCTATGTATGTTCTCCCATAGCAGAGCTGAATATTTGATCATCTACTGTAAAGTTGTTTAAATTTATTTGCTCTCTGAAATGAAAAAAATGTTTTCTGTCCCATTACTTAGTTGTGATTTGACAGGAGGTAGCTTGTATATATCCCCCAGTTATTTTCTGGTCAAATACCTTGGTAATAAAACAAAAGAAACAAACAAAACAAATATTATTCTTGTTATTTCAGGAAGAGAGGAATTCTGAAATCGTAAAAAAACAAAAAACAAACAAACAAACAAAAAAATTTCTGAGTGCAATAATATAGATACAGAGAAGTATTCTCCCTTGGATTCAACATTTCTATGCAGAGTCAACTTGTACATATTTTAAAAAAATTAATAATGTATTTTAACTTCATTTTCATGAGTCTATATCACTGACCTATGGCTGTTTTCACCTTCCCCTTTTCTCTTCTTGCCATAATATTTAAATTTGTTGTGCTTGAGTGTGTTTGTAAACTGTCTTTAACAGGAAGAAACATTTTTTTATTAACTTGTAATGCATTGGTCACTTTATCCTGCAAACTATCCTTATTTCTAATCCTTAGTAGGACACATTAATAGGACATCATTCAAAGTTTCACAGCTATTATTATGTGTTATTGTTCTTTATTTTACTCATCTCTTCAATTCATAGCCACTTTCATTTTCCATGCCACACTTGGTCTTTCCCAATACAACAGGGTATGGCCTTTGAATACATAATTCCATTTGAGCAAAAGAGATAAAACACAGCAGTTCATGACTGTGAGCAAATTGTCCTGCAATTATCTTGGAGTTTAGAGACTTTTTTCTCTTAATTGGTCTCTGGAGCCTTGAATTTTATTAATTGTTTTTAACAAGCTTTCTCTTTTGGAAAGACTCCTAGGAACAAAGTGCAATATTGGCCACCCCAATAATATTAATTACTGTTAATATCAAGACAGTTTCAAACAGACCTGTCAATCATACAATCTCCTGCATTAAGAAGTTGTGTTCAGTATAATATATGTTAAATGGCATAGAGAATCTATAGTAGCAATTAGGGAAACAAACTTAAAAAGGTTCCAATTACAGGATTGCAAGCTTCTTGAGGGCATGAAACTTATATATAAACTCCTCCTGAATTCCTCTTGATTTGCAACTATGTTCATCAAATAAGAATGAAATAAACTCTAAGAGTTGACTAATGTGCCATGGAAATAGTGGAGGAAGTTTTTTCAAAAATTAGAAAATTAAAAGTGTTATTTGAAGTCCTTTGGAAGGGTTGTTGAACACTCTCTCATCCCTTTTTCACCACTGTGATTGTCTTGCCTCTTTCATTGCAAGAAAATGTAAATAATCATTAACTTTTCTGATCTTTAGTGATACAATCTTAAAGAAATTGAGCAATCTTAAATTTGCCATTATAGGTAAAAATCAATTATGGAGTATGAAATGCATAACCTAAAGGATGAGAATATGAAATATATTTGAAATCATAACAAGCATCTATTAAAAGCTAGAAGATAAGTGTTTATGTGATCACAATCTAATTACATTTCACTGCTCTGTCATAGGAATAATCTGGCATTCATTTCATGGACATCCAAAGTTAGAATCACTAAGGCAGTATGAGAAAGTATATCTGTTAATAATCCATGGAAATATCTGTTTTAAAATGTATAATTTCTTAGTTCTCAATCCTACAAAAAAGAAAGAACATAGATTCTTATTTTCTGGAGCAGTTCCCACTCAAGTCTCCTTAACTTTCAGTTAACTACCTAATTACTATCACTTTCCCGACACTGTCTTAGGCCCAATTGGGCATCACAGTATTCATTCATTCGTTAATTCAATAAAGGATTATTAAGTATTGCTCCTACAATCTGCAAGGGTTAAATATGAAAAATGTAAATCATTACTCTCAGTACTTTGTAATCCAGTTGAAGAAATAAATTCCTTAAAACATGTAGATAAAAAGTAGCAGATGAAAAACATTGTTCAGTTGCTATCAATAAATTTTAAAAACTCAAAGAGACAAACTGCCTATAACTTTGTGGATGGATCAGAGGCAGTGTAAAGGAGGTAGCACTTCATCTGGGTTAAGAAATTGAGCTAATACCATCATTCAGGTCAGTGGAGAGATGGTGAGAGAAAGAAAGACATTCACAAAAAGAGTGGGGTGAAGCAAGTGATTAAGAACCCTCATTTTATAAGTTTTGTATTCATTTCAATGTAATGCCAAGTGTGTAGAGAGGAAATCTCCCCCCCACCAAAAAAAAGAGATAAGAAAACATTTATCCAAGGATGCTAGGGGGTTTATTGCTTCACTAAAAACCACTGTGCCAAAAAAAATTTTTTTTCTAAGTAAAATTTTTTATAATGTTTGACACTCAATGTTTGTCAACTGTGTGTATGTCTATATATCATTATATAATATATAATTGATATGTAATACATAATTTGCATCTAAGAGAATTTGCATGTACTATGAAAACTTTTTAAGCTACTGCTGTTTTAGAGATAATCAATTGGCAATTTTTGAGGAAAATGGAATATTTGTTTTCTGTAACTGTTTTTTTGTAATATCTAAATGTTCATTGCATATTACAATGGCGGAGATCTGACTTTGATAAAGGAGTGTGGATCTGTGTTAGTTACAATGGCATTGGGCTTTGCCAAGTAACTTATGAATTAGTCTTGATTGTTTGCCAGATATTACTTTTTTTGGTAAAAATGACACTGTTCTACTCTAACTTTCTCTTCTATCATCAACCTTACAATCCTAGTGAATCTTTCCTTTTGGGAGCCATATGACACTCTGCCCATCTTAAATATATTTGTAGCATATCTTAATGTATACTAAAAAGAGAAAGTGCCCATCCGCAGTCCCAGGATTTTAACTGTAGAGAAAAATGGATTGCTCCTTTGTCCTTGCTCTCAATGTTTTTTTTTGTTGTTGTTGTTGTTGTTGTTTCTGTATTTGTACAGGCTATCCCGTGGAGTTTTTACCCTTTTCTTGGGTGACTCCTAACTGCCTTAGGTAGGTATTAGAAGTAGCCATTTTTTCACCCTGATTCCTTAGGCACTCTACCAAATTAATATCCTTTCCTTCCCTTGGACATGGCCATATTTGACTTTTAGAGTTCATTCATCCTTCCACATGTCCTAAGAAGTATGTAGGAAAATAAAATTTTCTTAGCAATTTGCTAAAACAAGAATACGCTTCACCCAAATAGAAAAATTAGGTTAAATACACACAAAATAAGGGCAATGGGTATATTTTAAAAAGCAGAGTTTTCAGATATGAATGATTAGGTAAACATGGATTTGGCTTGCGTTGGCAGAGTATGCTGTTAATTTCCCTTACAGCAAATATAAGCGAATTTCTCATGAAGGAAAACACACTTAACCTACACATTGAAACAAATACTCCAAAATTTATTTGGTCTCCCAGAAAGGGCATTGATCTTCAGACCCTCTCAAACCTATTTTAAATTTTGATTTATAGGAAGAGATCCAGGGTTAACCTTTTCACTCTAGAATAAGTTGAAGTTGATTCACTTGACTGGGCCTTGACCTCACTGACCTTTATTTATTTAACACCAAAACATTTGCTCTCCTGTGGATCTCTATATGCAAAACTTTACCTAATTTCCTGACTTATTGTCCTTTATTCCATTTGATTTACCTCCCTAAATGCACACTAACCTCCTGGTAGGGCTGGTTCTCTGTGGGCTGCTAAGTGGTAGGTACCCCTGTTTCCTCCATAAGAGCCCCGTGGTCTTCATGATGGAGTGATATCCTTTCTTGAAGGTTTGTACCCCTCATGTCATCTTACTGTAATTTCTCCCTGCTTTCCCAGTCATCTATTTAATACAAGAATTTGATTTATTGGATCAGTAAAAACTAAATACTAAAGCCAGATGTATAATTAACATGTGGTCCCCACCCTCAATGTGTTTGTGGTCTACTGGGAGGGGTCATTATACATTTATATTATTGATTCATTTTTTTCTCTTACTACCATGTTTAAGTATCCTATCTCAGTAGCCCTATATCTCTGTTTGCAAAGCATAATGGATTGAAATTTTTTGTCCAGTTAGTCCTTAGGTCTTATTTGGCTTAGGTCACCACCTCCCAGTACTTTTTCTTGTTCTCTTTACTGTATCTGCCCTTAATTATTTCTAGTGATATGATGGTCTAGTGTCCTATTACTATAGATATGTGCTGTCAAAATAATTTTATAGTGAGACTCTATATCATAGAGGAATAATGAGAATTGAAAATTTTTTTCAGGGAAGGGAGAGAATAATAGTAAAAGGGAAATTATGAAATTAACAACCGAACTGCAATGCACTTGTATTTTAAAGTAAATATTGGTAACTTTTGCAGGGGGTGAGGAAAATGTCATAATATTAAATGAAAACAATAATAAAAAAGTCATTATTATTCCTGGAAGTTTTAAAGTATTTTTCCCTTTTTTTAAAAATACAGTCAAAACCTTCACTCGTTGCCCATCAAAGTACCCTTAGAAATATGAAAAGTTAGATTTTTCTTTTGTAATTTCTAACTCAGAGATTGATAGTCCTTTATTCTATCCTTTCATGAATTGTCTTGATTTTTTATTTCAATCTCAATATTATAATTCTATTTCATATATATGTTGAGAGGACTTAAGACACCAACATGTATTTTATGCAAATCAATTGAGTATGTACAACGCATTTGGTTTGTTTTTATTTTCCAAAGTTAACCCACATGTGCTTCTTCCTTTAAAATCATATGACATGCAAATGTTTGAACAGTGTCATTCTTTGACCATGGCTTGCTTCTCCTTGGTTGGCATCCTCACTCCAACCCACATCTTCCTTCTTTAGAAGTAGTCCAGTTGTATCTCTCTGTTTAACAGAGAAACCACAAGGTGGCATTCTTTCAGAACACAGGTTTGCCCTTATACTTTGACATCTGCAGTTTGAAGACATGTGAGTCTTTAGTTACATTAAGGAATCAACACAAACATTTCCTGTTGTAGATCTTTTGGCTATCTGATTAAATTCTACAGAAGTGTAGATATTTTAGCACTGAATTTTTTGTTACATTTCATGGTCATTCATCAGATTTAAGATTTTGTAATCAAGTCTCCTACCCCTTTCCCCACCCATAACTAATGTTTTCCTCTGTTCAAAGTGTTTTAAAAGCCCATTTTTTTCTTCCCAACATGTAGAAAATAAATCTCAGTTAATCACAGAATATGCAATAATGCATGGTGGTTGAGAATGTGGTTATAGGAGGCAGACTGATTTGAAAACCCACTATTAATTTTTACATGAAGTCTGACCTTGGGCAAGTTACTTAACCTCTCAGTTTCTTTTTTAGTAGCACAAACCCTCAAAGGTAACAGTTGATATTAAAGGAGATAATGTTTATAAAATACTTAATACATCACCTGGCAAATGTTAGACACTCAATATATTATAACTGTATTTACTAATCACAGCATCATGCTCAAAAAGCACACATCCCCTATCTGTACTGCATGAACCATCTCCTCAATAATAACCTTAGACTTAAGGTGATGCTTTAGAAAGTTATGGAAATAGTAATACGCTATCATTCAATTAATGTGATTTAGTTGGCTAGATTAGCTGTTTTACCTAAGTTTCAAACATGCTACAAAGTAATAACCAAAAGAAACAAGCAAACACCAAACAATTTTGATTTTAAAAAAATTAGGTTGGAGGACATAGAAAGTTCAGAGACAAGGAGTGAGGATGCAAGAGAACAGGACTTGAAGGTAGCATAGCATCCCTATTCAGGAACTGCTTCAAGGCCAGCATATTTGGGGTGCAGATTTAATTTCCTTCCTGTTTTCTAACACTGTTACCTGTCCTAAATTACAAATAATTTTGCCTAATTTAAAATATGAAACAGAATATCTGATGTCCCTAAATTATAGTAAAATTTACTCACTATATTAAAAACACTAGTTAGTCACTTTGAAATTTAACAACACATGTAAACATACATTACTGTTTAAGTCCATACTCTTCTTGACTGTGCTCTATATATCTACACTACTATGGCATCATTTATACTCATGAGTTGAGGAAAGAGAGAGTCCTTTTGTAACTTCTAAGTCCTGGGCTCTCTCCCTATTTTTCTTTATTTATGCACTCAACTATTCATTCATTCATTCACATCCTATTGGTTGAACCGCACTATATATTTTTTTCTTTACCATTTATTTTTGTCAAAAACATTTTTTGTCATTTTAAAAAAGTAGTTATGAGTATTAAAAAGTTTCTGATTTTCAAAATCTTGGGACTTTCAGTCACTCTTACAGTATTTGGTTGCAAGTATATACTCTGTATATGAAAGATAACCATTCTTAGAAATATCAGAAGAAATAGACAATCTGCCAATACAAATGTAAGTCAATTAGAAGGAGATATGTAGTAGATAGGAAATGTTAAACTGCAATAATAGACACCCAGTTTTCAATAGTTTAACATAAAAACCATTTATTCCATGTCTCAGTAGGTATTCAGGTCAGCAGAAAAATTCTACTCCAAATGGTCATTAAGGGACTTGAGTTTCTTCCATCATTGTTTCACTATCCCATAGAGCCATATCATCATAATATCCAGCCAGAGAAATAATAATAATAAAAAAAACATGGAAGAGATAAACCATATTTTATTGTAGCCTCAGTCTAGAAGTGATCCACAATGTATGTGCTTATATTCATTGCCAAAACAGTCACACAGACATACCTAGCTATGGGGTAGGGACCTAGTTATGGGGAAGGGGCCTGTCTAAAGAGAGAGGGACCTAGCTGCAAGCCTATTTCTAGAGGAAGATGCAAAATAGAGTTCAGTGGATAGTGAGAGATTTCTGCCACAGTGTATGAAAGGGAAGCTGTATTTCAATCACATTTTTGTTTACTCTAAAATGATAACTTGCTAGTCTATTGATACTTGTCCCATTTTGCTGAAGAATCCCTCAAGGAATGATAATTTAAATTCTGCCTGTTCCTAAATGAATAACATGTTATTTCGGAGTGTGGGTGGCATTAGTTATAGAAGGGGGTGATCCTTCTTAATGTAATTTTAAATAACAGACCCAATTTAGTGCAGTACCAGCAAAGTATTCAATTAAAATCACATTATTAAAATAAAAATTAATGTTCTGTTGCTGAACTGCTTGGCTGAATGCACCAATTAAAAGTTTTCTTATCTTCCTCGCTTCCTCTCCAATCTCTTTGGAAAGAGAAGACACAAATACACAAATATACACACAACTTTCTGACTAAATATACCGAGTCTGAAGGTAAATATTGTCCCTAAAATACTGTAATTGCACAATTATCTATGGGATTTGTGATGTGTAATGTTGTAAGTAAAGTTTTTTTGAATACATATTGCATATATTTTATTAAAACAAATATATCTTCTACATTCTCATGCTTCAAGCTTGTTTTTCAAACTATATTAACCTTAACATCTTACTTCCTCCTCTTATTTTCATAAAATGACTTGAGGAGTCACCAGGCATAGTTGCAAATTAGGTGGGAAATAGTTAAAGGTAATAAGTGGAGAAAATTTTATACTGTGGCCTCAGATTTTAAATCCAGCTTTTATTCAAGTAGCCAATAGGCTAGGAAAGACACTATCCTAGAGCCAGGAACCTTAAGCAAGCCTTCAGCATGAATTGTACTGCATAAATCTTCCCTACTCATTTTGTCATTATCAAATAATTTCCAAACACTTGTCATTGACTCATGTTTCTTATTTTATTATCCACTCTCTTTGCAAAATATTTTTTACTAAGCCATTCAGGTAAATGTGCTTTTCCAGTCCCTCTCACCTCTGAAGAACACTTCCACATGGACAGTTGCTTTCCTTTCTAGATCTCTTTGTGAATAAAATTCATAAGGGGTTTTGTGAAATAGAGCAGCTTCCATTTAGATTCAGCTGTTATTTCCCATATTCCTGAGCCATTTGACCTTTCAGGAAGTTAGCTTTCCAGTTCTAGTGGAAAAATTGGGGAGTTCATATGTAATGGTTAGCAAATAGTTGAACATCAATTGTGCCCTCACTTTTTCCAACATTCTGCATAGCACTGGGAATGCAAAGATAATCATAGCAACTACCATCAAGTTACAGATAGTCTTTCACATTTGTGTACATTTGCACATGCTGATTGATATATGTTTTGTCAATTGCACAAAAATCAAATTTCCTTATTTTAAAAGAAAGCCCCTCCAAATGTAAATCATCCAAAGTCTTTTTAAAAATGCAGCAAGTGGATTTACCACTAATCTCAATTTTTAAGATAATTCCTTTTGATTACTATGTGATTAGAGAACAAGAGATACGAAGTAGATATTAAAAATGGAAAAAAAAAAAAACGTTGATGCAGCTAGCAATCAGGAATGACTTTTTTCATATACTGGTTTAGAAAAAATCAGAAAATTAAGTCATAAAACAGCAAATGATATTTTTCATAAAACTGAATGTACGTGAAGTATGTTTTCATCAACAACAAACATGCACACCACATAGGAAGACAAAACACCTACACACGCCAATCATGATCATTACTATCCAAAGTACATGTATAAAGACATGAATTGGTGTGAATATACTATGTATATAACCAGAGATATGAAAAATTGTGCTCTATATATGTAATAAGAATTGTAATGCATTCTGCTGTCATGTATAAATAAAAAAATTATATCAAAAAAAGGAAGCAAATGAGAAAGAAAAATCAGTAGAGGAAGAGGCTCTATGGGTAAGTCTTGAGAGCACATTACGAAGCTCCTTTATTCTTCCAAACTTTTTAAATTGTGCAGATGTATCCTGGAGAATGGTTTTAATCAAGACTATAACCTAAGAACATTGTCCCTCACTCTAGGAAATATGTACATTTGTTGTGGAAGTGTAGTAAGACTGGGAACTATGAAGACTTGCTTGGATTATGACTTAGGATACCTGTGAGATAAGCTAATTTAGGAAATATGTTCCTGTTTCCAGAAACTTTATCCATGGTTAATTAGTTATCTCACATGAAGACACATGTCAACTCCATAAAAGGAAGTACATTTGCATTTAATTAATATTAGTTCACATTTTCCTGTATCTGTTTGCTGATGTTTTAAAAGAGGAAGTTGGCTTATGCTTAAGGGCAGTTCATGATGAACTTCCTGTCTTGTCAGTTCAAGGAGCACCAGTCTTTGTTACAAGAAGCCACCAAGCCACAAGAGGCCAGGGATACTTGGCTGATCAGCCTCTTCCCTGGGCCACCTCTCAGTGCCTAAACATACTCACCTAACCTTGAGGAGTTTCACTCATCTACAGTTTCTTTATTTGGCCATTCATGAAAAGTGGTAGTTAATTGTTTCACCAAAATTACTCACATTACCTTAAATTAATATTTTCCCCTTTCTATTTAATTATGTTTAAAAAGAAAAACTCTATATAAGGTTTTATTTTTTAAATGTGGTTTCTATCATACTATGAATAAATAATAATTGTATAAGAAAACAATAAGGATTGTGTGAACAGATTGCTCTCAGTGGGAATGAACTCCAAATATCAGGGAGAGGGATGACCTAGAATCTCAAAAAGCTGAAATGTTCCCAGAAGGAGGCATTCTCTCAGGTACTTTTCTTCCAGACTTGCATAGCTTCTCATCCCTGAGAGGTACACAGTACATATTGAAATAGGTCAGCATGTGGGGAGATATTAAAGTTATGTTATCTGCCTTCTGAATCATGTCATTCAGTGCTTTAAATCACCCTTAGAAACTGAGGAGAGAAAGACCTCATTAAAGCAAATCAGGCCAAATTAATAAGAGAGCACGTTTTGACTCTCTTGTGAAGCATATGCATACTCATATAGCTGAGAGTTAGCTTGAGAGGGTGACACAAGTGGAGGTTGGGGACAGCAAAAGGAAATTGGAATGCACCATTTTTTACCTTATTTATCTTTCACCATGCCTCACACACCTGCATTTGTACCATACAGATATGCTTATACAAGTGTTGCCTGGGATTAAAATAAGCCTGCTTTATAGGTTATGCTTGCAAGGAACAGCTTATAGTCCAAAAGGGACATGGAGAAATGTGAATGGCACATGCAGTTTGAAGGAGTCGGGGAATTACAGTTGCATATAATCTGACTTCGTCTTTTATATCAGGCATTGTACATGGATTATTGCAACTAATTCTCACAAAACTCCAATGTAATGATTATATGCCCAGTTCCATGTGATAGATGAGGGAGCTAGAATGAAGTATGAGCTCAAGGTCATACAGTTTATACACTCATTCTCTTTAAAATTTCTATGTGCTTTGTAGATAACTGTCAGAGAAATTTTAAATACTTGTTTCATCAGTATTTAATTCCTTACTGATTTGTTTCAATGGTCCCCACTGGCTACATAAAACAAAAAACAAACAAAAATATCCCATGATGAATTTCAGACCCTAGAATCAGAGGCCTAATTTTCTGTTCTTTAGGCCTCTATTCTCATAGGACTGACCTGCATATGCCTTCTTTTGCTGTTTCTCATATAACTTTAACTTTCCAATGCCTAAGCCATTTCCCCTACTTACGAACTGGTTAGTTTCTAGGTGATTGGGATGTGAACTTTCCCTGGCACAGAAGAAAGGCCAGTTATCCTGGCTGAGTCTCTTCTTGTTTAGCCTATACCGAGCTTTCCTCCTGCTCTGTTAATCAGACATGCACCAGTTGTCCACCATTAGCAGTATCTGCCTTCTTCCCAGTTGTCTACCCAGAGCAGTTTCCTAGGACTTCTGTTTAGGAAACTACTTCAGTGTGCATGCTTTGAAAAACAGCAATGTCTTGTACAGTTCCGGAGGTTTGACGTCTGAAATCCATGTACTGACAGGGTTGTGCTGAAGAGTCTGTTCTCTGACTCTCCTCTAGCGTCTGGTCATTTTGGGGCAAACTGGCACTCGTTGGCTTGTAGAAGCATCCCCTTGACCATGGTGTACATCTTTATAGGAAGTCACCTGTGCCAATTCCCCATTTCTCTAAGAATATCAGTCACTTTGAGTCAGGACTCACCCTAATTTAACTAATTGTATCTGTAATGATCCTATCACAAATAAAGTCCCATCCAATGTAGATCTTCATCATTTGAAATTGGAAGGGACATATTTTAACCCACAACATTGCCCCATTGTTTACCCAGTGCTCTATTTATGGTATTCTCTGATTTACTTAGGGAATGCTGAATCAAACATCTGAATGCCTTTGTGACTTTATGTGACATCTGGTAACCTCTGCATCATAACAGAAATTTGGGAGATGAAAACAGTTAAAATAGATCCTAGAGTAAGTCACGTCTGATAGCTGTTATCGACCTTATTGCTTCACAGATTAAGAACCAGTAGGGACCAGAAGGGGAATTTGTAGTCTGTTCCTGGGAAAGGAGTACTTTGTAAAATTCAACTTCTTTCTGTTTTGTGTTCTAAGGATGATCTTGTCACCTTGAGCACTTTGGCTAGGTTTGTTTACACACAGGTACAGTCTGCTCATATAAGATTAAGTATGGCTGAAAGTAGAGCTGGAGCCAAGGAAAATATTATCAAATACTTACAAATATCATTAAATCAGTATTTTGGGTCAAATCAGATGGATTAGGTGTTCTCTTCTGGCATCTGGAACAAAAATACAAAAATATAGCTTATCAGTGTCACTTTGAGTTACCATGTAATTCTACAAACACATTACTTTACCCACATAACTCAGGACAGGGCATTCATAATAGTATTAAGATTTCATGGTGTCTACAAATCTGGACTGTTACATCAATGAGATATTTTTAGTTTTGGCATATGTCTCCAGGACTCTGTTCAAGAATCATTTTGTCCTTTTACAATTTTATGAATTAGAAAAAATTTAAAGGTTAAGAAGAGAAATACCAATTTTTGAACCAAGGTTCAGGAAGTATTTTAAAAGATTGTTCTGAAGTTTGTAACTAAGTTGTACAAATGTGCTGTAATCCCATTCCAAAAGAAAGTTCATTCAATATTTACTAGTAATTAAAAAGGATAGAGAGAATATTTTAAAATGTCAAGCGAATGAAAAATAAAGAAGAAAATTATAACTTTGCCTCCAGAGTAAGTATACCAATATTAGAAAGTAGAAGTCAAACGTTTGTAGGTAATTGGCAGAGAATGAAGACTAAATAGATGTTTAACTACTTTTTAAATTCTAACCTTTTCTTGTTTATAGAAAAAAATATATAAAATATATGCTTTATATCTCAGTTCCATCATTTGCTATAAAACTATGGAAAATACTTAAACTTTCAGAACATACTCAGCCTATTTACCATCACCAGTAGATCAAACTAACTAACTTGTGAACGTGATATATACAAAGTCATCTATTTCTTGAGATAACTAGTATCTAGGATTCAGGATAAATTGCCATTTATCCAACCAATAACAATTGTTTTATTTAGAGTTACCCTGTTCTTTATTAAGTTTGGTTGAAGTTGGTCTATAATGCACTTTGGGAGATTTTGACATTTGCTGTCAGAGATTTAAGGTGTCACCATGACAGGGACATTAAAAGTTGGCAACACAGACAGAAATAGGTAGTGGCTTTTAAGACTTTGTGTCAAAAGAAACCAGACTAATAACACTGAAAAATAATGGATGTATGAAGAGGATTAGGGAAAATGACTGCATAGCATAAGTAGATAAGGACACCATGGAACAGTGATGAAGGGCAGAGAGATTCTCCACAGGCCAGCACAGAGCAGAAATCTCAGAGGAATGCACAATGAGACAGTAAGGGGCTTTATGGAAAACCTGCTGGAATTATTATGGTTTTAAATTTTTATAAATCGCATTGATAATAAAAGATTAAAGATTATTTTAAATTATCAAAAAGTAAATAAGTGATCACTTTTTTGGTTACCAAATAAGTACATCATGCTGTATATCTCCCAAGATGCAAGAGAATGGCTTAAAGTTTAAAATGCTTTAGTGAATGAACTGTTCTTACAGAATACAGATGAGGTTTTCAACAGTCCTTTAAAACTTTTCCATTTTAAAAGAGAAGAAGAAAACATGGAGAAATCCAGAATCAGTCAATGCCAAAATGCATTCATACACTCATGTGCACACCAAGTATTATATAGTAGGATATCTCACCACGAAAAAACGTATTTGTTAATTTTTTTTAATCTGTTGTATCTGTCTTTAAAAAATCTAAACTGAGTGGGGAATTAACTTTTGAAGGGCAAAAACAGTTTTGCTTGTTGTGGTGAAACAGTCTATGATACTGTTTTTGAATCTGAGCTCCTTCAAGGAAAGGACTAGGCTGTTCTTCATCCATTCCACTCCCGGTTCAGAGCTAGCTCTAAATATTTATTCACAAGTGAATGAATGAATGGATAAATCATTGATCGGTTAACACATGGTATGAAAATTAAAGGCAAAATTCCCTCATTTCTTACCACAAGTTCTTTTGCTAGTTTGGCAAAGAGATCCTGAAGAGGTATTTTTTGAGAATGCTGAGGAACATTTAAAGCCAGAAATATTACATCAATCAGAAGATTGTAGTGGTCGTTGGCAGCCTTGAGAGAAACCTTTGAATCTAAAGGCCACTGAAAAGCAAATCTGAGGACACATTCCCATGTTGAATGTAAAGGCTGCAAAAGAACTTACTCAAGAACCATCACACTTGCATTTCTCCCTTTTTATGGACTCTTAAGCTAAGAGCTGCAGGGACAGGAAAATTCTTTATCACTGTCTCTGGCACCTCGCCAACATCTGGCCCCCTGTATCTTTGGCCCCTTGGCAACTTCTGGCACACTATTAATGCTTCAATAAGATTTTGGTGAATAAGTCTATGAAGGAATTAATGATATCAGAAAGAGGAAGGTTAAGAATGAAGCACAAGAGCTATGGGTATATGCTGATAGAGTAAAGGATTGACAAAGTGAACTGAATGCTCCATAGAAAGAAAGGAAAGACATTGAATGGATATGAAGGAAGGGTATGAAAAAAGGGTGACAGATTCCAAAAGAATGAACAGCCTGGGGTGTAAGAAGGGGTCTTTGGGTCAAGGTTTGCTATATTGAGTTTGGGTTTATTTTCTCTAACCAAAAAGTGTTTAAACAATTTGGGAAAAAGACAAATCTGAAAATCACAACAAAGCAAGATATGTATTATGTTTCTCCACAGACCTCATAAAAGAGCAATTTACTCTTGCATGTTCTCTAAATGTTTACAAGAGAGAATGTTTTATGGGCTTACTGATTTCAAATTCCCTTCCCATCTCTGATTCTTAACTAATTCACTTAAAAAACAAAAACTTGAAACACTTAGGAAACTACCAAGATCTTTCTAGAGCTTTTTCATTTGAACCTTTGAGTTCTGGGTTGGTCATTTTGTCTCAAAATTAACATAGAAATTGAAAAAAAAAAAACCACAACAATGATGATTATATTTCAATAAAGGTAAGAGTGGTCAGACCTCAGATTTTTCAAAATCCTGTGTTCTTGTCCAACTCTGACTTAGCTCAGAGGAAATGGGTCAGTGGAAGCAGCAGAGAATATTGAGTGATGTCAGTTCATGTTAGCCCGAGGAGTCAGGGCTGTTTACTCCCCAAGCTTATAGATTCATAGTGAATAGATTTTTTTTTTATCACTAGTGAATAGGAGAATAAAAACTCATCAAGCCATGGGACTTAAAAGGCTATTCTTGGACTAATAATCTTTGTTTTGTAGATAAACATAATGAGGAGAAATATGTAAATATGTAACCCTAGTTCAAGGACATAAATGTGAAAAACTCAGGATTTCTGATACTTTATGTAGCATATTTTCATTATATTACATATTGAAAATAAAGATAGTTGATTATGTTAATGACAAAGAGAACACATTGTGGTCTAACACCTTTGAGAGCCTAGAAAAGTTCATTTATTGGATATTCTAAATTTACAAGAGCAAATCTTGTTCATCACTACCTGTCCGTATGCGCTTACAGAAATTTGGCATTTGGTAGGTTCTCTGTGTGTGTGTGCACGCGTGCACGTGTGCTAGCATGTGCACGTGTGTTTTAATTGAGGCATAATTTATATACAATACCATGCACAGATCTTAAATATTCATTTTGTTGAATTTCAAGAATTTTATATATGTGTAACCATGTACAGAATACAAATATTCTGTATATGAGTCCTTTGCCAGACATATGTTTTATGAAAAAGTTTTCCCAGTCTGTGGCATGCCTGTTCTTTTTCTTAATGCTGTCATTTACATTACTCCAGAAAACCCCCTCCTGCCCCTTTATGGTCAGTCTCCCCTTCATTATGCCCACCAAGTGACCACTTTCTGAAATATATCACTACAGTTTATGTTTGCCTATTCTTGGAAATTGTATAAATAAAATAAGTGAGTGAATAGATTTTTTTGTTGTTGGCTGTTTGTTTCAGTCCTAATGTTTTTGAGACATTCATAATGTCTTCTGAAATTTATTCCTGTTGTTGCTTACATCAGTAGTTCCCTCTATATATTACACAGTCGCTATTTTTGAACCAGTATAGCACATTTTGCTTATTCCTCCTTTTGATGAACTTTATGATACTTACCCTTTGGGGTGATTATGACTGTTAAAGATTGATGTAAACTTCTTTTATAAAATGTCTTTTTGGGGGACATTTTGAATGCATTTTCATCTCATTGTTAGCTACTTGTGTTTCTCCTTCATAAGTGACTTAAGTCTTTTACCCATTTCGTGGCTGGGAAATTTGCCTTTTAATTTTAACATATAGGAATTCTACACATATTCTGTATATAATTTTTTAAAAATCTATGTACTGTGAAAACTTTTTCCCAAAATGTTTCTTAGCTATTTGTTTTCTAATAAAGTTGTTGTTAAGGAGCAGTAAATGTTAATGAATTTCAACTTATCTTTCTGTTTCTTTTAGTTACCAATTTTTGTGCACTGTTGAAAACAATTAGCCTACTTCGAGGTTACAAAGATTATTTTTTGTTGTTCAGAGAATATAAGGATTACATTATTACACTAAAATATTTCCTTTCACCTATCAAATCAACATAGTTCCTTGTCCAAAGATTAATTGACACTATATTTGTGGGTCTATTTATGGAATTTGTTTTGTTCCATCAAACTGTATATTATAGGTTTAAGCTAATTATTATATTGTCTTGATTAATATAATTTTATAAAATTAGTAAGACTTACTATAGTAAGTCTTAAAGTTAAGTAGTAGTAAGTCCTTTTAGTTTTTTTTTTATTTTAATTTACTCACATTTTTGGTACATTATAATTATGCATAATTGTGGGATTTCTTATTATATGTTCATATGTTCACATGATACAACAATGTTTTTTGGTCATTATCATTCCCCAGTATTTCCCCTTTACTTTACACTGTTGGTCCCCTTTTAATTTTCAGAAGATCCTCCCATACACTTTTTTTCTTTCCTTCCCCGCCCCCCTGTATCTTCTCAATATGACAGAAAACATACAACTCTTGACTTTCTGAGTTTAGTCTATTTCATTTGACATACTGCTCTTAAGTTCCATCCATTTTCCTATAATTAACAGAATTTAATTCTTCTTTATGGCCAAATAAAACATCATTCCATATATATTCCTCTTTTCTTTATCCA